TTCGTACACGGACGCCACACACACATACACATATATATATGTTGTTGATTTGTGAGTAGAGTATTCTCTGTCTTCGGGCAGAGTGCGATTCAGTGACAAACAACAGAAAGCAAATATATAGGGATAACAAATAACCATTTTATTCCTAGGATATACAAATGGGGATTAAATATGTTGGTGTATTTTGAAAGATGAAAGACGGAACAAAACAATGGTGGGGGAACGTATCTTTTAAGAAAAGTAAATATTATATTGACAAACGACCTTGTTCCAAACTTGCATGAAATTACAAATGACAAAAAGGCAAAAAGAGCAAAGATAAAACAGACGACTTATCAGTTATTTGAAAAAGTCTTTCTTTTTTTTTTTCTCTCTCTTCCTTTTTTTGTGTCTCTTATATGTTTCTCTTTTCTTTTTTATATTTCTTTTTATCTTTTATCTTTTCTCTTCTCCTTGCTGGGTAGAAGGTTTATCTGTGAAATGGATTTCTTTTTTGGTTTCTTTTCTTTTCCTTTTTCGTCTTGTCCAGGGGTTGAGTGAAAGATCTTTTCCTTGGATCTCATGATAATGTATCTTTTTTGTTTCGTTGTATCCGCTTCTTTTAGCACGCCAGAGTTTGATTTCTTCGCATCAACACTTTACTGAGTCTTTTCAGCTCAGAATCCTTAATAGATTTCTATCAATTCCGCACATTCAAATTTATAGCAGATCATAGCAAGTTTAGCTGGACGTCCATTCAGTTTGGATTCTGAAGAGGGACTGATTTAGTGCAGTCTTTATTTTCGCGCCTCGATTTTGGTACGTGACCCATAACTTCCAAATATGGATTTTATACATGTGTTTCCATTTTTGTATCTCAGAGAGTTCAAGGTTGTTTTAATGTCTGGATAATACCAGGTCCAACCATATATATATATATATATATATATATATATATATATATATATACTGCGTGCCAAATTATTATCGAGATAATTTTTTTTTAATATTTCAAAAAGCGTCCAATCAATTCACATAAAATTTTCACAGAATGTTGGAAACACTGACCTGCGCAATCACTGAAATTTTCGACCTGATATGCGCAATGTAAACAAACTGGCGCCATATTTGTTATCAGTACACTTAATTACCCATTTACATAGGTTTGTATATCATATCTCCCTTATATACATACGTGATATCTACCCGTTGTTGTGTTTGACCATTGCAAGATATTGTAAGATCTAGTTGTGCTTTAAAAGGACGTGGTTTTTTAAACCGGACATACTTTTAATACATATGATACAAAATTGACAGACATTTGAAACATACATTCTGCCTACATTACGTCTATTTCTGTGACTGTTTCAGACAACCATCTGACTTGCAAACTTATTATTATTATTATTTCTCAACACTTAATGTAATTTTATAATTGGTTGCTCTCCTACGATAATTTCGTATATGACTTAATTTCGTCCTTAATTTAATCAGGTAAATCCTGTCATAAATTTCACAAGTGAAGTCCTGCGTGTCACGTATATAGTCCGGAATTCTACATCAAAATCTTTTCGGACATTTCGTAATCTGCTAAATCTCATAAGTAACTTTTCTACGATCATTTGCATGGATTGATGCTATGTTCTTTTTTTTTCGCTGTGTATCTCGTGGAGGTACCTATGCTAACATCATTTTTTTTCGCGTGGAGGTACCTATGCTAACATCATTTTTTTTTTTCGTGGAGGTACCTATGCTAACATCATTTTTTTCGCGTGGAGGCAAATTATGCTAACATCATTTTTTTTCGCGTGGAGGTACCTATGCTAACATCATTTTTTTTCGCGTGGAGGTACCTATGCTAACATCATTTTTTTTCGCGTGGAGGTACCTATGCTAACATCATTACAGTTTTAAAGTTTCCGACTTCAACTGTATACATTGAATGTGTTGATTTGATTGTTGAAATTGTAAGTTTCGATTTCTTGTCACAAAGGTTAAGATAGGAGATGCTGAAAAACGAAAAGCTTTTGATGCAAAATTTTAGATGCGAAGAAAACTAAGGAGAAATGAAACAAAGTAAACTGCCATTTATTTGCTTGACGCTGCTGTATCTTTTAATATATATTGTCTTTTCGATTTTCTATTGCTCTACTCTAAACGTATTAAACGCGAAACACATTTGGATACACACTGGATATATGTGAAGGCGTGTGGTAAATCCGAGGACATCTATTATCTTTAAGAGCCTACTTGACATATCATAAGCCACCTGACATACTAGAACTTAGTATATTTATTGCATCCACGAAGCTACCTGCTTTAACAAGCACTTCATAATCGGATGTTCTTGACATATATACAAAAAAAAATCTTTTGATAAAAAGTGGTCGTTGTCTGAGATATGCATAAAGATTTATAAAATGAAGATTAATTTCATTTTTATCTCGATGTTGCTGCTGTGATGTAATTAATCGTTTTCATTGAGTAAAATGTAGGCGAAAGAAACACTATGTATGGCACAAAGACATCTACAATTAAAAATTACATTGTTGTTGAAAATAAAATTGAATTATAATCTATTTACTGTGATTTTTATTATTAAGAATGAATCAAAATTGGATATCCGTCATTTTCTTGTAACTAAATAAAATAGAATCTGGAAGAAGCAGCTAATGGGGTATTATGAGCAAATATTCAAATTCACTCTCTCCCAAAATAAAAGAAATACATTCTCATATGTACATATTTATATATTCATGCATATATATACTCAAATCTATAAGCAACCGAATAGGCCTATGTTATGTTTATTGAGATCACTGGGTATAAACATGTATTTAATTATATACAGAGACGAGTGTAAATAACAGTGAAATTCTATGCTTATACCAAAGTGGCCGTCAGCATTGGAATGATTTAAATAATGTCTGTTACTTTCACTTAAGTAGAATTAGTCATTATTTGGAAAATTCGTGCACTCCATTAGTACAAAACGGAGATGAAATTGTTTTATTCCTGTTACCTCATTTATAGTGATATATGTTCATGATAACAGTCAAATCTGGAAATCGGCAAGGCATTTTTAATTTAGCCAACAGTCTATTCAATTTTTTAATGGACATTGTTAAAACAGCCAGTATATAACGAACACACGATCACAAATCAGTGTTTCTTGCATATTAACTCTTATAGTAGGAACAAAATTTTCCGTGATTTATTATACAACTGGAAAATTTGAGGACTTACATGAGAAAAGCTGCAATCAATTCTCAAACAAGTATATAACAGCCACTTGGTTATGTAAGTGTGGGAAACCTTTTCCGTATTCTATATTTATTTATCAGCGATTGAAATTTAGTAAACTCGATTAGATATATACCTAAATTGTCAATGATATATGTTGGGCTATGGTGGGGTTGACAAGATAAATGTCCTTCAATAGGCTCTCTGACCTAAGGATACAGATGGATTAAAGAGCTAAAACGCTCATATAGATTTGGAATGTTTAAACTATTAAAAGGGCGCCTAGTCGAAAAACAAAAGGGCGTATAGGTACTCAAGCTCACATAATGTAGACGATCAAAAGTCGATTTCAGCTCTGCTCTCTGTACCTGAGAACTTATTCCCATCGCTGTCTTTCATTCTTCATTGTCGAATGATGACTTGCGATCATGAATAGTCTGAAATAAATCTCGAATAGGAAGATGCAAACCCTTAAAATTCTACGTAAATAGAATATATGAAAAGAACTGTGCTATAAAAAATCATATTAATTCAACGCATAAAGATCCATTATTTTGTTCCATTCTTGAAAGTAAATTGCTATGTTGCGGAAACCTGGTAAAAACGATGGTATGTCATTGAATTTCAATAGAGATCCGATTTTGGATAATAAAAAGAACATTTTTTTCAATCAAGTGAAAGAATGTAAATGCTTAAAAGAACTTGATTATTTATGTTTTGTTTGTAAAACATTGTCACCCTGGAAAAAAGTTTTCAGGCAATAATTGTATGATGTTGAGGATTATACTAACAGTGGCATCGTAAACAGAGCATTCATAGTCCAAGGAATGATGTAGTCAAAGAAATATCCTCAAATAAAAATAGCAGACAATTCTTGAGGAGGTTCAGCTGTGCAAGTGCCTTAACAAATTTCCAGTCACTTCTGAGGTTGTTCAGGATTCAGTTAAGTTTCCGAGATCTCTGAAGCTACCTGATGTTTCTCCTAACAGGGTTCAAGTACAAGATATTCCTGTCATGTCTCTCAATAATCATGAAACTCCAAATTGTGCAAAGGAAATTATTTATCTATCAAGCAGTTCCTCCTACATATTGTCAAAGAAACTACCCTAGCTGGAGTAAGCAAAAGGGTAGATGTGTTAATTCCCAAGATGTCTATAATTCTAATAACATTAATATTTGAAATAAAGCAATTTAATTGCCCATTATTATTCAGAAATTCATTTTGTACGTAAGTCATCTGCGCTACGAATATTGACGCAACATATATTGATGCTACTTCTCGTTTGGTCTTGTGGCTTACATGTACATACATATCTACACATTTTCAAACTATTATTTTTACTGTGTGTCTATCAAATATCTATGCAAATCTAAAACAACAAACGTCGTACTATATTTTTGTGTGATTATTACAATCATCCAACTTTAATCAAATGAGTCACTTGGTTGAAAATATTACAGAAAAAATGTTAAACGAAACAATGCCTGATGAATTTAGTATATATATATATATATATATATATATATATATATATATATATAATACTTATATCTGCGTGTTATCAAGAATGAAGTTATTAAACAGTCAGATAATACCATTTCGAAAGCCTGAAATTTCATGAAGCACCTTTAACTGATTGGATCGTTCTTCAGCAGTTGGTAGATGTATTTATATTGGGTTAGACATATGTATGTGAGAGACAAAAAAGAAAGGGAAAAGAAGAACGAGAGAAATGACCAAGAAGACAAAAAGAACGTCTAAAACAGATATAAGAGAGTTAGGAAAAAGAGCGAATTTTGTAGAAGACAAATAAAAAATGCGTAAAGTAAAAAAGGAAAAGTAATAGAAAGAAATAGAAAGCGAAAGAAAGAAAAGTAGAAAAAAGTTGGGAGTAAAAATGATAGAATAAAGGAAAAGTGTCAAACAAGAGGACATAAAAGAAAGGATGAAAGATATAAAATAACAACATTAAGTTAGAACAATGGAGAGAAGGAAAAAGAGAAGAAAAGATAAAAAAAGAAAAGAATGTTTGGTAATAAAGACAAGAAAAAAATGGAAAAATAATTAGGAAAATATATTTGAAGGAATGGGATGAAAGAGGAAAATATAGACGGCGGTAAGCTGAAGAAAGAAAAAATCTAAAGAAAATATTTATTTAAGGGTTGATGAGAAAAAAGAGAAAGTAAAATATAAAAGCATAAATGATAAAAAGATGGAACGGTGAGAAGAAAAGAAAAACGGACAGAAAAATAAGAGAAAAAAAAAACAACAAAAAAGGAGAAAAATGAAAGAAATAAACTGAAGATAATACAAAAAGAAAAAAAATCGAAACAAAAAAGAAAATAGCAAATTTATGCAGACGTTAAAATGGGGAAAAAAATTGAAAAATGATAAATAATACGAACAAATAAATGAATCGAAGAGAGAGTATATATGGAAAAAGAGAGAGAGAGAGAGAGTATCTATGGATAAAGAGAGGGAGTATATATGGAAAAAGAGAGAGCATATATGGAAAAAGAGAGGGTGTATATATGGAAAAAGAGAGAGAGTATATATGGAAAAAGAGAGAGAGTATATATGGAAAAAGAGAGGGAGTATATATGGAAAAAGAGAGAGAGAGAGTATATATGGAAAAAGAGAGGGAATATATGGAAAAAGAGAGAGAGTGTATACATGAAAAAAGAGAGGGAGTATATATGGAAAAAGAGAGGAAGTATATATGGAAAAAGAGAGAGAGTATATATAGAAAAAGAGAGAGTATATATGGAAAAAGAGAGAGAGTATATATGGAAAAAGAGAGAGTATATATGGAAAAAGAGAGAGAGAGTATATATGGAAAAAGAGAGAGAGTATATATGGAAAAAGAATGGTTTCCAACTATGAATGATTTATTTTACTATTTACTTCCGGATTAATGTCGCCATCTTTGTTGTTATTATTATCTCTGCGTTCCGATTGCTGTCTCCTCCAGCTTTATCAATCGGGTACTACTATAGTATGATACTGTTCATTTTTTACTATGGTATAGCATTTACCAACTGTTGGAAGTATGAAATATGTTATGCGTTAGAGTTAAAGGCAGTCAACAGTGAACCGGTTATATATCGCTAACAATTTCTATACAAAAATACAAAATCATCAAATAGTAATTTTAATGATTGTAAAATGATTCGATGTCATTTTAAAAAAGAAGACAGTAAACAGGTCATCGTTTTTCCTGAGCATGTCAACACAACGTAATTACGTTGTGTTGACAGATTTGTCAGTATGAATTTGTCAGTAATATTGCAGAAAAAAATTTTTTTTAACAGGGAGGTAGGTATTTTATTGACAACTCTCTCGATAAACTTATGTTTGGGGATTTTTTCTACGGTAGCAGTTACTCGATGTATATAACGTGAACGCCTTTTTCTATATTTTTTGTTATAATCAATGAAAAATATGCGCTCTATATATAAGGTTACTACGCAGTAACATTAAAATTTAAGATTGTATTCTAAGAAATCTAATATTTTATTGAATATTAATTACTTTGGCGTTATAGTTTAACTTGTGGAAATTTTAGAAATTGAGAATATATTTTAACTTTACTATATTGCTCATATTTTCTGATAATGTCGCTTTTGAACATCGGTATTTACAAAAATTGATGCGTTTATGCAAAAAAAAAAAACAAAAAAAACACACACACACAAAATTCTTTTTAAAATATTAGGGGTCATTGAATTGTAGTGAGCTTTTGCTTTTCCATTTATATTTAGTATATACAGTTTTAATTTTATAACAATATCGCTTGACCGCTACAAATTATTACAGAATTTTAAAATAATTAAAATGTATAAATTATTTTAATTAAAATGAAAACAATTCTTGTAATAATTCATTATTCGTCGAAAAAAAGTTATATATGAAAAAAATAATTTAATTTTTCTAATTAAATAATATCTTAGTTTTACTGAAGTTTTTATTTTTTTATTCCGAGCAGATTTTCTGTAACTGGGGATCGTCTTTCATGATTTTAATTCACCGAGGACTTGTCCTTATAACTAATATAAACATAAGCGCTACAAAAAACAATTACTCAACATTTCATAAATTAAATAGTTAAAAATAATATGTTTACAAAGATTTTCTAAAATAAAAACATTTAAAAAGAAATTTAATTCATTATTTATTATATTATACTACATTATATATAGAGATAGATAAATAGATAGATAGATGTGCGTGTGTGTGCATGCATGTAGTTTAAAAATCACTATATTTATGGATGAAAAGTGTACCATATTGAAGACAGTTCTAGACAATGGTAGGAATCAGCACTTAATTTTACTTTTTATCTTTTCCTCTCTCTCTCTCTCTATATATATATATACATATATATGCCTATGTATGTATCTCTTCTCTCTCTCTCTGTCTCTCTCTGTATATATATATATATATATATATATATATATATATATATATATATATATTTATGGGTGCGTGTGTACGTGTGTATATGCGTACGTGTCTATAAATATATTCAAATCTGTTTATACGCAATATTTGAGATATTTGTAAATATTTTTTATTCATAACTGTTTTTCTTGACACCTTTTAAAAGTCACCGAATGTTTGTGCATTTGCACAGATAGCCATTTTACCCCACCAATGTGTATGCATTTATATATATATATATATATATATATATATATATATATATATATACATACATACACATGTATGTAGAAAGAAAGGGATAGATGAATAAATATACGTACATGTGCATGTATATACAAATATGCGTTCATTAAATAAACTTCTCTTATGTATACGTATACCTTATATACATATAAAAATAAATATCCATGCTTTATACGCATTATTTATACATATATATTCATATATATATATGCGTGCGTGCGTGTGTGTGTGTGTGTGTGTGCGTGTGTGTGCATGCATTTTTATTTGCTAGATTGTATCCACCTTCCTTTTCCGGTTGTCTTTTTTGAAGAATCGGGCCAGGACCTATTAATGAAGAAGCCTACGAATGAACATTTTTCCTCTCTTGCTAATAATTCTACGGTAAATTTGGCAAGAGGAATTTTGAATCAGTGTCAAAATCTCATTTTCTTTTTCTTTTTTTCTCTTAGTTTGTGGCCCATTCACACGAAGTTTCTATATTTACCACATGCCTTTGTACATTTTTATCCGTCTGACCATATGGATATACTTTTTTCTTTAGTTTTCTTTTTTTTCCAAAATTGTACAAGACATTAGTAAAACTTATATGTGAAAATTTTTAAGAAAATGTGAAATTTTTAATTTTGTGTAAATTAATCATTTCATAATTTTTCCTTATTTGTCTTTGGACGAAAATTCTTTCAATGATTCTAAAAGAACAGAGATTACAAAAGCTGTCATAACAGAAAGAGAAGGTAAACCATTCTTGTTAGGATACTAATTACATGAGTTTTGTTAAAAGCATCGTAATTCACTTGAAGGAACTTTGCCAATTCCGTTGTACAAATTAAAGTTTGATTTCTTTACATGCATGAACGGCCCATGAATAGATGCATTGGGCTATAACTTAAAAAGACACGTTTCCAGATGTTACGTTTTAAATAACATTCGGAAGCATTTATTTATTTTTATTTTCATTGTTATGCATCATAAGAATTTGATTTTCTATAACTTACGCATACGATTGGCTAAAAATACGTTTCAGTTCGGTTTGGAAAAAATCATTTAATCTGTAAAGTAAATGTGTGATGAGAAAAATGACTACACAAGGACTTGTATTTCGGTAAAATAGTTTTTCAAGTGATCTATTTGATGAAATACTATAATGTGTGAATTTTACTTTCGAAAAGACTATCGTCTTGAAGTAAGTTGGAAATCTCGTCATATACGCAAATATCTTTTCCATTGGAGAACATCGAGATGTTGGACTTTGGAGTCATTTTCTATGAACGGAGACTAGCATAGCACTTAATGATTTCTTTGTTGCCTACTAATAGGAAACTTCCGACATAAGATCCTGGCATTGAAGCAACAAATAGACTTCAAACGAGAATTATATTAAAAAAATAATTAAAGTTTTCCCGTTTGTATATATTTATTTGGTAGAATCTTGGTTATCAGAATTAAATTATTTCACTTCTTAATTTGGGAGTCGAATTTGAAAGAATTTCCACATCTTTGTGTACGTTTCTGGGGAATATTTAGTGCTTCAGTTCAAAGTGACTGTTGAAAAACACATGATATACTGGATTAATTATAACTTTAATTTAATGATTACTATATTAAATCATCAATTTTTTTTCTTCTCTTTCCCTACTGCCATGATATTATTTCGATACATTCAGACTGAAAATAACAAGATAGTTTTAGGAAATAATTAATAGCGTATATTTTCTATTTGAAAACTTTCTTTTTGGTTTTTATCCACCTGCTGTTTAGTCCATTTCTGATATCATAGCTTAACGTTGAGGAAATTGACGTTAACTTTTAATATTGTCTATAATTTTCTAAAAGGCTCAGAACATTATTGTCTGAATGATTTTGGCTTCGAGTTTAAACCAAAAGCTTCTTATAGCCCTTCGAATAATTTGAGTAGAATGGCAGCAGAGTGATTATCGACCCACCTTAGCAACATACACATTCTGTATTATACACTTTTTAAAATTCTAAATAGAATAAAAGAAAAACATCTCTCTCTCTCTTTCTCTCTCCCTCTCTCTCTCTCTCTCTCTCTTTCTCTCTCACACTATCAATAAAAAAAAGTATTCCGTGACTGACCACCGCCCAATATGAAGAATCCAGTTACCCGAAAGGCAAAAAGACGGCGTGGTAATAGAATATATGGCTATCCATTTACGTTTCACCTTTCCTATTACACAGGTGACGCTCTTGCTCTTTCCCACTCTATTTTTTTCTCTCTCTTTCTCTTTCTCCATTTCCTCTTTTTCGCTGCCTTACCTTGAATATTTTTTATTTTTTATTCGCGAACTTTTTGTCATTTTACACTGTTTTCGAATAATAAATTGTTTCTGTCAAAATATACATTGCTAGTAAGAGTTTCCTTTTCAGACATACAGATGCCACAAAACAAGTAAAAAGATACAATATAAGGACAATAAAATAAATATTCTACATTTTCAAAGCACATGTAAACCAAATGGGAATATTAAATTTATTTTAAGCGTTACCAAGAGGTTTCGGTATTGTAAATATGAAAATGTATTAAGTTTTCTCTTATATAACTCGTCACGAGGCTGACGTCAAGTAATAGCAAAAACATAGTCTGATCATGACAGCTATGCTTTTGATAGACATGTTGATTGTTGAAGTATTTGTCTTTATTTAAAAGCTGAACAAAAAATGCATTTGATGAAACTATACTTATTTATTCATTGATGCAAAGAGAATTCCCAGTTAATCTTGTGATGGTTTAGAATCTCACTAGAGATATTTACTATCATTAGTAACTTTACAAATAAGGATTTCTCGTTATCACTGGAGTGTTCTTCTTTCAAATATTATGTCTGTCTATTTTTAAACGGAACATTGTAACGTAAATGAAGGTAATTTTGGAATTCAATTGAGAAAATCATTTGAGAACGACTGTTTTTGTGGTTTGTTTTGTGAATGAAATTTCTCACATGCACCACTGGTTGGTTTTGAAGTTAAAAGTCAACCGTACAAATCTTAATTTATAATATAGACAAACATACGTCCCATAAAGAATGGATAAGCTGAAAATTAGGTGTTAAAATCATCTAGACGAAGGCAATATTGAAAGCATCTAGAATACTGAGGAAAATGTTTTAATATTCAGGACATTTGCTGTTACTTAAGCTCTAGTGTTATCCATCAGTTGGAAGCCCCCCCCCCAAAAAAAATAATGGATATTAAGTTTAACTGAAAAATGTAAATATTACTAAAAGTAATATAATAATTTAATATAATTTGCAATTATTATTTATTTCCTTTAATATGTATATTATTATTATTCTTATTATTGTTTGACGTTATATATGTATTGTTTGTTATTATTTCTTTTAACTTTTTCCACAGGTATCGGGTTTTTCTGTAGTAGTATTTATTTGTTTTTGAACAATTAACATGACGATCGTTTGTATTAAGTTTACTTCTTGTTTTTGCTTACCTAAAGTTATATTTATCAACTTTGAATTTTCTACTCTCGTTCACTTTTACCAATTGATAGATTATGCGTTAGTATTGTCAAAAAGGCAGTATAAATGATTTTATTGTATGCTAAATAATGACTCCATCTAAATAATGACTCCATTATCTCTGAGTATTTTAGACTTAAATCCCAATAAATATTTTCCCATTTTGTTTCTGCTATGTTTCTAAAATGAACAAACTTTTTGATATTTGTGTTTGTTCATTCATATAATATTTCGTAATTTATCTTTGCTTTCTAGTGCCTTTGTTTACCTAACATTTTATATATTTAAAAATCATTATTTTATCAGCTTCTAAAACACGTAATGTAGGTAATGTGTATACTATATCGAAGTGGAGGAGCTTGCGCGTTTCGAAGAATCTGGATGTAATACCGTTGGGAAGGAACCAGACGAAGGGAAGGGACCAGACTAAGAACGATCCGATGCTTGGTGGGTAAGCGGTCAAGGCGACGTTGTACAAGTCGGCAGCCCGATACAAGCTGTCATCATAAACCCGCCTGTCAAGCACTGGTTTGCCGCAGCGAATGGTGTAAGCTGAAGTGTGTGTACCATGTAGTGGCGATCCATGGACGTTTCAATGCTCAAAGATTTTCTTCTTCTCACGTCCCGTGGCAGGAACGAATCACGAACAACGAAGTTCTTCCTCGCGCAAAGATGGTGATCCTTAAAACCATTGTGACTTGTCACCAACTACGAATAGCAGGACATCTTGCACGAATGCCATACATCCACCTACCCAAATAAATCCTCTTCTCGAAGTTCGCATCTGACAAGGGACCACGTGAAGTCCTACGTCGTCGATTCAATGATTCGCTCAAAAACACCTTCCTGAGGACAGAAATCGATCCGGTCACTTGGGAGATGGAAGCTGCAGAAAGAACCAATTGGAGAAGATCAGTCTCTGAAAAAAATACTTCGAAAACACCAGAAGACAAATATTCCCTTGTACCCTCCTACCTTACCATGTGGTGCCTGTAGACATCTCTTCAGATCCAATATAGGACTTATTTCACACAGAAAGAAATGCCGACGAGCACAATACTCGGAAACTATTTTCGTCAACAATGACGTCCATCAGCTAAAGATTGATAGAACTCCATAAGACTGTTAATACCGCCTCTGCAAATGAAATATATGATTGAATTTAGGAGTAAAATGGGAATAAATGGAAGATAGATGACATGAAGGAAGATTATGAATGATAAAAAAGGAAACAAGGAAAGTAAACATTTGGAAAAAAAAAGTGCAAAGTAAGAAAAAGAATTATAAAAAAATGAATCAATGAGAAGGTAACAAATGTTACAGACACAATGTTATATTATATATATATATATATATATATATATATATATATATATATATATATATATATATATATATATATATATATATATATATATATATATATATATATATATATATATATATATATATATATATATATATATATATATATATATATATATATATATATATATGTATATATATATATATATATATATATATATATATATATATATATATATATATATATGTATATAAATTATTCTAAATCTGTAATGATATATTTCAACTATTTAAATGTGATCAAGATTACCGATAAGAGATTTACATCTGTAGCTTTAGATTTTGCGACTATTAAGACAGACTTCTAGAATTATATCTTATTCGGTTTTAACTGATATCAAATTTTGAATTATGTTTATTAGTAGCACCAATGTCATCTTCACTGTCCATTCAATAACAACAAAAATTATTATTATTATTATTATTATTATTATTATTATTATTATTTCAATCGTCGCCGACTCTTAAGATGTTTCAGCCGGGTTATGATATTCCAAGCAACACTCTCAATGATGTGTTTTGAAAGGCAGAAAGATTGCTGGAAATAAATTCGAGTACATCGTGCACAAGTGCGGCATCAGGGCGATGGCCTTCCAATGCTTGTCAGTGAAATGCTTATTTGTAAAGTTACTAATGATAGTAAATATCTCTAGTGAGATTCTAAACCATCACAAGATTAACTGGGAATTCTCTTTGCATCAATGAATAAATAAGTATAGTTTCACTTGCTCATTCTCGGCTATTGGCGGTGGTGAATGTTCATATCATGCTAGCATTTCTGTAGTTGCCAAAACGAGATGAAATGTTCTGTCTCTTTTGTATACTCGTGTAATTTCTATTATTTTTTCTTCACCTTTCTCTTTAATGGGCTTTTGCGGCAGTTCCCTACATTAAACTCAATCAAATAATTTTAGTTCGATTTATTGCTTTCATGATAATTTTAAAAAAATGTTTCCTGTAAAGTTTTGATATTTTTCTTCACCATCACCGCTGCTTTCATAGTTACTTCTTGTCTGTCGATTCATCCTCACCGTCACCCTCCTCCTCATCAATATCATCTATCCCATAACCGGGTGTGGTCGTAGGGTCGCTGCGCAGTTGAGCAGCTGACCAGCTCCTTCCATATGTCTTGATTGCGTGCCAATTTTTGTCGATAACACAAAGCATTCCTGGATTGCATGGTTTATCAACTGTTTTCTCTCTTTATTCTCTTTTAAATATGTTTGTACATTATTCAGAAGAGTAATTCGTTTAATGATTGAGGTAAATTACTCTTATAAATACAATATATATATATATGTCATGCAAGTTGTATCGAGAAGATACACTAATTTAAACAGGTTAGATTTCAAAATGGCGTGCCTTCTATTCATCGTCTTCGCTAAGTAAAAAAGAAAAGAAATCGTATGTACTGTTGGTAGACTCACTGCTGATTGCATTTCAAATATGGTTGGGCACAAGGATTAGACGAACATTTTGTTTGGGCATGCACTAAAATTATTTCAGGTAAAAAAGACGGATGGCGTAATGATAAAGAAAGAGAAATGAGTAAAAAGAAGGAATGATTGCAATATCAGCGAATTTCTTATCTAGGCGAGCAGGAAGATATTGCACCCAAAACTCTTTTTCCCTTGTTAATTCTAGCTTGACTTAACCGAGTTTCGGTTTTCAATATGGCGTCAATATGGAGGGCACTAAGAATGAATTCAGCAAAGTTTGCAAAGTTTGATAGCAATCTCTCCCTCTCCCTCTGTCACTCTCTTCTCAGTTTTTCTTTCTTTCTCTGTAACCCCACGTCCTTTCCGGTATAAAAACAAAAGTTTATTCTCATATATACAACAAAACGCAAAAATAAGTTAAATATATTGGAAAATATTGTAGATTTTATAATTTTATCTCTTAAAAAGATCATATAGCGAATAATTCTAAATAAAAAAAGATAGGCTTAGTTTAAAATTAGGAACTGCGATCGTGCTATTGTTATAGGTAAACTCGTAAGTTCGAAAAATATCATTCGTGAGCAACAAATATTTTACAAGTAAACAAATGTGGTAGCTGAACACTAAGGTTTTGTCATGAGAATATTGCAAAGGGAAAACCTCTTTAGCTAAATAATCAGTGTAAGATATATCCGCCTTTACCTGGGGTCAAACATTGATTACTATCTGTAAAAATAAAATCATTACACTTCCACAAGTCAATCTATCTATCTATCCATCTATCTATCTATCTATCTATCTATCTATCTATCTATCTATCTATCTATCTATCTATATAGTGGCTGTCGACTCACAAAGCGAGTATGACCATTACTGACATGTCCAACCCTTCAGTTAAACTCCCCCCACCCCACCCACACAACACTGCATTCATCGGTTGTGTGAACGACAGTGGCTCATAAAACCAGCCATCGATCTGCATTTTTTGTTACGTATGTGGCATATCAAATCATCTCTGGGTGGTGGAAGTTGACTTTGATCATCATCACTTCCAATGTGTCTTTTTATATGCCTTGTCAGGCCCGACCTGAACTTGCACACCCTAGTGCAGGTCGGGCATTCAAAGCATACCATTACAAAATCGCCATATGTGATGGTTGATGTGATTTCTGGTGACTGATCACACCTTGCCCTCGACAGACATATCCGATTGGATTGGGCACATGACCAGATTGGCAATTCAGGGATCCCTTCCAAACCCCTCTCTTCATTTCTGCATATTTTTGTGATGCCTCATGTGAGATCTTGACGCCATCAACAATACCAACTTTCCAAGAAACCCGGTCTTCAGCTAGAGTCTCCCAGTTATCCAGGCCAATATTGCACTTGTATAGTGACTCTTTAAGGCAATCTTTGAAACGAAGTTTCGGCTTGTGCTGGGTCTTTTCCCCATTTCCAATTCTCCATATATTATTTATTTTGGAATTCTGTCATCCGCCATACGGGCAACATGGCCCGTACATCGCAATTTTTGCTTGTTCATGAGTGCTTTTACAGAGAGTAAATTGGGCGTTTGTAGAACAACAGTATCAGGGATGTGAGACATCCAATGGATTTCAAGCACAGACCGAAGGCATCGTTGATGAAAACAGTCCAGTATCTTAAATGTCTGCGATTGACTACCCATGTCTCACATGAATATAAGCAAGCAGGCATTATATATTTTAATTTTTGTCTGCTTTTTTTATGTCCTTCTGATTACAGACAGAACTTGAGTGCTACAAATGCATCGGAGGCCTTCTTAATCCGTAACGCTATCTCATCGTCAAGAGAACAGTGGCGGTTGAAGGTGCTACCATCAACATAAAATGATGACTCTATATACTGAATTTCTCGGGTAGGTTGATACATCTCCACTGTCTTGTCAAGGCTAATGGACCGTCCAAAAGCCTTACATGACCCCCCCCCCCCGATAGTCAATCCATGAACTCCTGTGTGTTCTGTTTTTTGTTTACAACCAGGTCATAGTCATCGCCATGAATTAAAAAAGACTTTTGTCCCTGCTGCAAACCTGCGTATGTTGAAAAGCTTGCCAGTTGACCTTTACTTTATCATAATACCATCATGGCAGTACCCGAACGCATCAAGCAGTACAATTACAAAATAGACAGAAAACATTGTAGGAGCCAGAAGATTTCTCTGCTTGACTCCATTTTCAACCTTGATGGGCCCAGTAAGCATACTACTATAACTGACACAGTCTTCCATAACGTCATGGAAGGACCTCAGAATCTTGAGAAAGTTGTGGGGGGACAGCCCAATTTTGAGAGGATTTTCCAGAGGCCAGTGCGATTAACAGTGTCAAAAGCCCGCCTAGAATATCTACAAATATTAGGTAACGGTCCATTTGTTGTCCACAGCTCTTTTCCTGGATTTGTCGTGTTGCAAAAATCATATCTGAGGTCACTCTGTCTTGGTGGAAACTACACTGTGACTCAGGCAGTATGTTGTCAACTATGTCCTGGTTCAAACTTAGTAGGAGAACAGAGGCTAAGATATTGATTACTCTCGGTAGAAATTAAATCATTACACTTATACATACATACATACATATATATATATATATATATATATATATATATATATATATATATATTATTTACCGGGTGTAATTATTCAAATCGGGTAAAAGCAAATTTGTCTATATGTTAGATTAAGCTTTGACCGTTCTACCTTAGATATGATTAAAGATATCTTACTGGAATTCTCAAAGGTTTTATAACACTACTGGAATCTAAGCAATAAGAATGTATAATTACTCTCCAAGCTTAACAGAAAAATCGTGATGAAATCGATCATAAACGAAAATGGCATGTTCATCATTAATTAATCATAGCTAAGGATCGGAAGCTCATGAAAAATTGAAAGAAAATTCAAATATATATATATATATATATATATATATATATATATATATATACACACACATATATATATATATATATATATTATTCAGGATCATTTTCCAAATTATTCAAGATAATTACGCCCTCTCTAATCTTCTAAATTTCTGTCCTGGAGTAACAAGGTGTCTCACAGTTTTCACGATACGATTTCATTTTCAAGTCTTTTTCACTGCTCTTTGGATTTTCATAAGTGAAACTTCTCTCTCACGTGTCTTATGAATTGAGTCAGATCTTTTCTAATTGATCTCTTTAGCTCTTAGTTGAAGGCCTGAATGATCTTTTCCCACTCACCATTGCTCATTTGGGAAGACAGTGGTGCTGAGACAACGGGATTTTAACCTGTTCTCTTTCTAGCTGAATAACTCAAAGGGCATTCTTACGCCAAATGGTGTCAAGATGGCTAAACTTTTTATCTGAAAACCTGGAAAAAAGAAACTCAATTAGTTTAGTGTTTTTTTTTTATTTTAAAAATTTTGAT